GCAGCCATCCAGGCCTCTGGACCCCAGAGAATAATCAATCAGCTCACTGAAACAACAGACGAACAGCGGAGACAAACAAATGGACATACTCTAACAGAAATAACATTTGCCTGTACGTGGAACATTGCAACAACCCTCAAGAGATTTGGAGCAAAACGCACACAAAGGGGAACTGGCTTTTAAACACAGTAAACTAAACCTCCACGCAGTCTAATGAAAACGACCACAACAAAGAGACGCATTAGGACGAGCACGCTGGAATATACGCTCCAGAATGGAGCAATAACGCCATGTTGATGATGCTCGAATAATTAAAACCACACTGTAGAAATTAAGCGAGTGCTTTAGCCTTTCACATCACAACACAGAGCAGTCTTTCTCTCTGCTTTATTCTCTCCTCCCTGTGAGATTCAATCTTCTTGTTAGATGACCTGCAGTGAGGCCCTTTGTTATGGAGTATTTTCCGGCTATCCTGTGATTTCACTTGCTCTTAATCCAATTTCAATGTCGAGAAGAGAGGAAGGGAGGCCGTGCACGAGCGCCAGATGTCTCGAGTGTTGTGGAGACAGGAGTATTATTGCTTAGAGGCTTTAAATAAGAAATTGCATGCAAGTACATGTATGTGCTACATGTGCCAATTAACCTGTGTGCTTAAAAAAATTGATATTTTACAGTGAAAAAGACAAGGTTTAGGAAAAGAAGTATGTATACTGCTCCGAGGATCGTTATGTGATGATGATATTATCGCACAGATGTGCAGTGCCTCCCCCTACGCTTGAGCATGACTGGGGTAAGTGCCCAACAGATGGGACTCATTGTTACACATTCATGTATGCCACTTAACCACACAAGTTATCGCACACAAGCAAACAGCAAAAAATAAATAAATACATTTTATTGCAGCGTGTATTTTGGACCTACCCATGACACCACACGTCCATTGAAGCAGGGCAGCTTAGCATTGTCATCAGATATTTCTTCCTTTACCACCCTGTAAAGAGAACAAGGCTTTGTTTCAGTCAAACATTACCAACACAAAAGCAGTCCCTGGGCAATAAAACATGAGGGTGCATTTAGAGGAAGTGGAGCTGGACAATATATTCCACCAAGCAGGACAGACACTGACAACTGGGGACAGTTGTACACATTAAGAATCAATGACAATGTTCAATATAACCAAATGTTTGAGACTACTGGCACACGCACAGAAAACTAGTCAAAAGATGGCTCACTTGTCCATTTCATATATAGAAGTAAGCCTTAATGCGTTACAGACTGGTGCAAATACATTAACAAAAGGCATGTGTAAATGTAACCATGTGAATTTCGTGCAAACCCTCCCATTCATTCAGTCCTGCTTGCAAGGATCAGATGGCAGGCAGATCTTAACAACACCTTGTTACACAATGAAGAGGACAAATAAGGCATGTATTTAACAAGCACCTCAGAGTATTGGAGATGTCAAGATTAGCCAGGTCTTTGACAGGGAGAACACTGATGGTCAGTGAGGCTTTCCTGGTAAAGATCACAGGCTCCAAACCAGTCTAACAAGTTCCTAAAACACTAGACTTTAAGGCTAGACTTTAAGGCTTCAACAGTTAATTTAGTGCATGCACCTCCACTCTTGAAACAACACAAATAGCTGCGGATCCTTTCAAAACTCGTCCTTTCTATCTAGGTTGTTGCCCCACCCTTGTTTGAGTTTAGCCAGAAAAACTTTGGCAACCTGGCTCGAGTTTTCAAAAAAACAAAACAAAAAAGTACATTTCTCCCTTTTATTTAACTCTGAAGAAGGTAAAGTGTGGAGGACCATAAAACGTCTACTTTTCTGGCCATGTTTTAACACAAAGGGACACGCTCATAAAGCTGCCAGAGTGATGAACAGGGCATTCCTGTGTCCAACTTTGCATTCCTTAGGCTAATAGACAACAACAGCAGGGGCCTTCTGGTCTCACTCACTCACCAAGTGTCCGGTTAGATCCATTCATTAGCCTGCTAGCATAAGCGTTTCATACATTAGGCAGCAACTGACAGCTGTAACGTCAGTAACTAGTTAGTAACAGTATAAATTGCTCCTTGTTTCATTTAGTCTTCAATAAGTTTAAATGCGATTAAAGGCTTTCTCTTAGTGTTCGTGAAACTAGAAATGACCAAACTTGGTAAGACAGTACAGCATAAGCTAAGCACGAGCAATGTAAACAAACGGGGTCGGGACGCTGAACAGACCTGCTAACGATGCGACCTGGACGCTAGCAGCTAACAAAGGAACGGCAAAGCAAACGGCTAGCTGATGACTGAAAGACAGGTAACCTTAGAAGTGATGACAAGCCAGCTCCACGAGGTAACAAATATGTTACAGTTAATCTGACTGGACTGAGGTTAAGCAGACTCGGGTTGCTATGCTACGTTACGTCCACGTTAAACATAATGAACCTTTTAACAGTTACCCAAAGTCATCGTCCATAGATTTGAAGAAGAATTTGTAATTTGGTTTCTTGAGGACATTTTTGAAGTCTGCCAGCGTGACTTTGTCCGCCGGCACCGACAGTTTCACCAGATATGGTGTCTCCTGGTCGTCGAGGTGGTAGATAATTTTGGTCTCCCCCATCTCGGACTGCGGCTAAGGCAAGGCAGACTGGTTGCATCAAGCCAAGGGCCTGGCAGGCTCCCTCTCGGGCCCCGACTCCCCGTGGCGCTGGCGGCTGCGGCTTTGCCGTGGTCCACCCGGCTCTCCCTGGCTGACCGACCCGTTCCGTAGTGCCCGGTTGTGCCTTTTTTCCCCTTTCTTTCTTTTTCACGGGAGCTTGCTAACGTTACGCCTGACTCTCTATTACAAAAACACCTTGCTGTTCCACAAAGCGTCCAAACACCGCCTCAGGACTGAATTGGTTTAGTTTCCGTTTGTGTAAAACGTACAATATATCACAAAAACCTTAAAAATACGTGAGGAAAAACAGTTTCAAAGCGGCGCAAAAATAAACAATCTCAGAAGGGTCCGTACTCCCTTCTCGCTAGCTGCTCGGCTTTACTTTGTTGCACACGAAACTGCATAAAATCGTCCAAGCCTGTCTCGGAGGAGCGCCCCCCGCAGGTGAGGAGGAGAGTGACAGCTTTTCGAGGACAGCTGGGGCAATTTAACGGCTCCCATACTGCTCTGGCAAGGCCATTACACGACCTTTAGCAGTTTTGAAGCCCCACAGACCTCACAGTTATATGATGGTATACTTACACAGAGCTTCAATATGTTTATACTCCAATTTACAGCTGGAACCTTTATATGGATTGCAAAGAATAAGACCATCATTGTCAGTTATCATTTTACTCTCTTAGAATTTAGATCTTAATCACCCTAAAATTAAAAATTTCAGCTGTGACACAAAAGACAAATGGAAAATTTCCCTTTACATTTTAAATCTGCAAGGAGGGGGTTGGGGGTGGGGTGCAAGAATGTAGGGCTTCCCATCATGCAGCAGAGAATTGGTACGGAGGGAGAGGTTTTGAAATCAAACGACTCCTTCCACATTTTTATTTGTGTATGAATTTTGCTGACCCCTTGTAATTCCTATCATAGCACCACTCAGACTGAGAAGAAGTCCAATCAGAGTGATTGAAAGGCAGTAATATTTCAATTTTATTATCAAGATTATTTGTTTTTCCCACATCAGCAGGTCAAAGAACTTAATTTATGACTGTGGATCATGGTTAACCTTCTTCAGTTTATTATATGGTCATGCATTGCATTTTGATAGAACAAATGCTGTAAATTACATCTTTATTAATGTAACTGTCAAAATATTCCACCTTTACTTTTGCTACTTATCAAAATGTCATAAATAACAAAGCAAGATATCAAGTATCAAACACTGCCTTTTAAAAACTGAATTATGAACACAGAAAAGCACAATGTGGAAAGTGTCTGATTGGCAACAGCTGACTTTTTTGGCATGACAATGGCAAACACACTGTCAATGCAGTTAAAGCAACATGACAGTTTAAAAAGTCTGAGGCTACAGTTAAAGTACTATAAGATAAAAGTACTCTTTATGGGGAATAAATGATATCTTTTCATACTAATATTGCACCTTGTGCACGTGGAGCAAGTTTTAACTGCTTTCTGAGATGCTAGTTATTGTGTCAATACTCAGAAAACAACCTAAAAGAATGCACTTAAGTGCACTGCAGTAAAAGTGTTTTTGTTTTTTAACATGTTTACGAGCATAAAGTCGTTTAACCTGTCCAAAACAGTTACAAGATACACAATGGGCCTTTCTCATACAGAGAGTAACAACTTGAATCTTAGTAAAGGCTGCATAATAGCCATGTCTGACTTACTGCCACACCTATATGGTGCAACAGAGACACTATTAATGTTAATTACACAAATGCTGCTGCTGCCAAAAGACGTTTGTAGGTTTTCCTGTTTTTTTAAAAGCAGGTCTGTTTTTCTGACAATTACAAGACTTGCATCACTCGAATTTTCTAAACGATTATGCATTATTATGCTGTTTATTATGCAGCGATGCATGTGTGTCTGTGTAATTTATACAGCTGGCAGTAGAATGGGAGGATGGCATGGGTCAGGCCAGCGAGAGGAAGAGGCTATAATATCCTAAGTTGAAAGCGGAGGTGGAACAGTGAGGTTGGAGAGCAATAGTTTGCACACTGGAGATTAACAAACTACAACAGTCTACTCTGTTTCTGTTACTGTACTGGAGCCAACCCACATAATTTCCCTAGGGATTAATAAAGTATGCTGATTCTGATATAACCACCCAAACTCCTTAAAAAGTTAGAGATGTGTGGCCAAGCCGTACACCACACCATCTCAGGAATTGCTCAGTGCTGCAGTAAGTGGCTGCAGATGAGGAGCAAAGACCCCAGCTGGACCCTGACACACTCAATGCTGCTGAGGAACTTATTATTGCTTCATTATTAAAAGCTGCATTTGTTAGTTTTTGCGATAACTATCAAGAGTAAGACGCTCTTTAGTCAAATGTGAATATGTACAGAAACCAGTTTATTGGACTGAATGAATGTTCACTTGCCACAACAGAAAAAAAGCAAAACAAAAAGCAAAGAGTAATAAAATACAGCCCAGTGGACAGTTTTTCTGAAATTCTCAAACAATAAATGGTTTACAAAATGAGGGAGTCTGTCTACCTTTCTTCTGTGGATAAAACATCACTGATATCATGATCTGCCACTCAAACACTGCAGTAGGCGGATATGACAATATAACATTTTTACGGACAAATACAAAAGAAAAAAAAAAGTGGGGAAAAGGGATTTGGTCTCTCTTTTTCTTTTAAATATGCTCTATAGAGTGCTTGGGAGCAGACTGTTGGCAGGTCTCAATCAATCATCGAGAAAGTCATCATCAAGGTTAACATCTGTGGTGTCAATGTCATCCAGCTCCATGTTGTCCAGGTCCACCTCGAGCTCATCCAGAGTCTAGGACGGAGAGACGCATACAAAAAAGGAAAATCCTTTTTAAACAATGTTCCAGCTGAATTTTCATTTGATTTTACTTCATCAACTAAGAACAGTATGTGCTACAAGTTGTTCTGTATGAATAAAACCTAAGTCATCACTTCCACACTAGAAGAGGGATTGATTCTGACAGCATAATAAATCAAAAATAAAGAGCAAAAGTCTTTACCTTATCTTTCTGTGAGAATTCATAGATTTCAGCCTCTTCCTCTTTCTCCACTGCTGCAGGAGGAGCAGGCTCAGGCTGTGAAGGTGTCACTGCAGCAATGGGAGCTGCTGCCTCCTCTTCATCTTGTGTCTGCCAAAAAAAGTGAATTAAATAAGGGAATTTTAAATTGTACTTGCCACTAATTTCTCCAGCTTTTATTCATTTTTACAGCCTACAGAAGCTACAGAACAATGAACAGTAATCAGGCTAATACAAAAGTACGGAGATATCGATACTGTATGCAAACCTTAGAGACAGGCGGTAGGAAGGTTCCTTTGGGCTCGTATCCCTGGGCCTCTTCAAGAATGTTTCTGTCTTCATTGGGCTGAAAATGTCACATACAAATTCAGAAGTGCTGCCATATTAGCGATAACACAGTTAATTTACCCAAAACTAAGCATCTTTTTTACTTAAGTCATCAAGGACTTTCAGTGAGTACTTTAATCACCGTCTCCTCACTGCATAATTTAAGTATTTTGACCAAAATCATTCAGCTTACTGTAACAAGTGGATAGTCTTTAGCAGGCCTCGTGGTGCCCAAGCAGGTTTCTCTCAGGTAGTGTTCAGCTGCAAAGGCTTCTTTCAGCCCGGGGAACAGATTCTCATACTCTGTAGGGTCTGCTAGGGATTCAGCCGCCTACAATGAAGATGCAGGTCATGACCAAGAACAGATATCTAGACTGATGCTGATTGAGTTTAACAACTAAAACAAAAATCTCAAGGACGTAACTAACCTTCTGGTTGACCTTGGCCAAATTCTCCCTCCATAATTTGACCACACGGGACACCTGGCTGGGTAGGTAAGTGCGAGCCAGGAAGGCAGCTTCAGGTAGTCTGTTTGTTCTGATCAGAAGCTCCAAACACTGATCCAGTCTGTGGAGAAAGCACAGCAGCAAGGCATGAATTACCCTGGTAGCCTCATTTTCAGTGTGAACAACAACATGATTCTATTCCACAATTCGCCCCTGCAGGCTCGTACATGTCACACTTACTTTCCCTGAAGGAAGTAGGTCATGAAGGCTACATTGTTTTTGCCGTCCCTTTCTGCTCCTTCAGCCAGCTTTCCCACCATGACAGCATTACCGGAGGCTGTAGCGAGGAGGAGCAGGCCACCATAATCCTGGGCATGGTGCAGGCACTCTTGGGCCAGGCCAAACTGGCACTTACTGATAGCCAGCTCTGCTAGCTGCTTCCACTTCTGCTCTGACTGTAGAGAACAGAGTAAAAAATATCAGAAATGTACTGGACAGAAAACCTGATCCATTGTGACATCAAATTACAATTACGGTCAAGCCTTTGATACAGAGTTTGCATTTGCTTCTGTGTCCTTACCTCTGCTTCTACAGCCAGCTGGTAAGCAATCTTCAACTCTCCCAGCTGCAAGGCTAACTCAAACCTGTGCTCAGGGTCTGTGGACACTGCCAGGGCCTGCTGCTTGAAACCCTGATGAGCCAAAGAAATTGAAACCTTAAGCATACTCACAACTCAAAAGACAACCATTAAAATAACCTCTAATAGACCAGTTTTCTACAGCTCATGTTTAAAGTCCAGTTGTGTTTCAAGATGAATGAATCGCCTTTGCTAACCTGTTTCTCCAGGAAGTGTGCCACCCTGGTCCTCTGCTCTTTAGGGATAGTGGGTAGCACCTTGTCAGCCATTCCAAAGTCCCGCCTCATCACAGCAGTCTGGTACTCCAGGACGGAGACAAGCAGGGAGTAGCTGACGATATTGAGCTCCTTGTCTCCCAGATACAGACGGTCATCTTTAGGTATGTAACCCAGTAGGTACATGGTCCTGCAGAAAAGGAAGTAGGTGTGAAAAAGCACCAAGGCTAATTTTAGAGGCCGCTTATTCTTTTTGTAGATTACATATTTACTGTAATCATCTGCTGAGTTTCTGCATTGCTGGACTGTGTTTCTAATAAAGTCGGGAGAGCAATTCTATTCAACTCGAGCCTAAATAGTCTGTATTCTTACCTGTCCAAGTGTGCAATTGTGACAATCTCTCCTCCAACGTAATAGTTGAGTCTGTTTACAGAGCTGGTGTAGATGAAGCAGTCTCCAACCCAGAGCCCAGTCTTGACAATCTCCTGGATCTCTCCCTGGACCTGAACATGTCATAACAGGTCAAATATATTTCTTAGATCAAGTATTACACTATGCTAAGCTATTCTGAACACTGACTTCCAACAAAGGATGTGAATGCACTCACATCCACACACCTACCTCAAAGGCATCTTCAATACCATCCTCTGTCACTCCCTCGTTGTTCTCTTGGGAGGCAGCGACTTTTTCTGCCAGGTAGCGCAGGATGAAGAAGGACTCCTCTGTGGCAATGCAGACCAGTTCACCAGAGTCTGACCAGAAGATCTGAAAAATATGAGAAAAAAGAAAGAAAAAGGGTAACCCTACTAGAATTACTGGACAACAGCTTCTCGCAGTCACTCACTAACTTATTTATATAGGCCAGTGCTAAAAATAAGGTTAGAGAAGCACAGAAGTAATTTGTGGTGACTTCAATTAAAAATGCACAGAGTTTCCAGACTGATAAACAGGGACCAGGACTGAGAACAAATATCTAACTCAGTAGAAGAAAGCCAGTCTTACATGCTTGGGCTGGATCTCAATGCGGCGGATTAACTCTGTGTTCTCCCAGTCGTAAAATGCCAGGCCGTTCACCGACCTCACCCCAAGCAAGAAACCTCCATAGATACCTGTAGAGCAGAAATACAGGGAAAACATCTGGTGAGAAAGACAGCCAACATACTTCCACTTCCAGTACCACAAATCCATCAGGCAGCTAAGATTTCATTACCTTCAGCTCCAAAGTCGGGCTTAAACGATTTCTTTTCTTTGAAGTTTTTAAAGAGTTTGACGACACTGCTGCTTTCTCTGATGGCATATCTTTAACAAAGAAATACAGATGTTATTCAATAAGAGAGTAGCAAAGGATTAGGGCAAAGTTAGGCTCAAGTTACGTTTTAAAATGTTCACTTACTCAGAAGAATCGTGTGCCCACACAAACTCCTGTGCTGAGCCGAAGCTCTTGTTTCTCAATGCCATAGCGGTGTAGATGATGTACTCTCCATCTCCACACACCACAACAAACCTGGTAAATGGAAAAACTGCAGATGAAGCTCCTCTGATAGAAATGTTATTATAAAATGACCAGAAACAAACATCTGTGATGCTCATTTCTGTTGATTTATAAAAAAAAAAAAGGGCTGGACCGAGTGTATGTCTACCTTCCATTAGGGTTGTGCTGGATGGTTTGAGGGTAAATCTCACAGCTGCCCATGTCTTTGACAGCCAACGGTAGCCTCTCTCCATCCTTGATTTCGGCATCACCCATGGCCTTCAGGTTGGCCTGCTGTATTTCACTGTGTTTGGCCCAAATGATTTTGCCATTGGTGTCCATAGACATGGCTGGCTCCTCCCGACCCACCTACCCGGGAGTGGATGACGGAAGAAGAAGATAGATTGGAAGAGGATGAAAATAGATTTAAGTTTTGAACACATAATTCATTTACAAAACATGATAACCTTGATAAAATTCAGCTATAAATGAGTAAATTTCAAATTCATAGTGAGTCTGTCTTCTTCCTTTCCCTCACCTTGATAATGATGCTGCCTTCATCGTAGCCTAGCGCCACATTGTTGGAGCCCCTGAGACCCGACACACACCACACTCGCTCCATGCCATAGTTCAGTGTGCTCTCAAGGCGGTAAGTGCTCGAGTGCCAGATACGCACGGTCCCTGTAGAGGGAGAGAGAACACAGTGTGAAAAGCAATAATTAATGAGATGGCAAAAGATGCATTTTGTGGGTGCACAGGTGAGGATGAGTGGGATTCCTGCTCACCATCCTCTGATCCAGTAATGATGATGGGCAGCTCTGGGTGGAAACTGACGCAAGAGACATTTTGGGCGTGGCCCTCCAGAGTTTGAACACAGGTCTTGTTCTACAACACACAGCGACAAATGGGTGAAATACTCACATGCACACAATGCTAAACCAACTATTCCAGCAGTAGCACAAGTAAATAATCACAACATTAGGAAAATCAAGTGAAATTCTCCTACCTGGTAGTCCCAGATCTTGACTTGGCGATCATCAGCCCCAGATATCAGGTAGGGCTTGTCTCCCCCACTGTAGTAATCAATACAATTTACTCCTTTCTCATGACCTTCCAAAGTGAAATTGGGAGATGAAGAGCCAAGCTGCCACACCTGTAAGAACCCCAGGAACATGACTACAAATACTTCAGGAACTTTTAACTACATATGTGTAATTTATAGTCATAAAGGAACCTACAATAGTGTATGACCCACAGTTCACAATCCACGGTGCAGATATACTATTCCTCCAGAACTTTCCAAAACATTTAGCTCCTAGGACTAATTTCCAGAAACCTTGAAGTGAAGTAAATATTGCTGTGGGATTTCACTATAGTATAAAACCTGAAAAGCAGACACTGGCCTGATAAGATTTTAAAAAGAAAAAGCTATTTTACCACATAATTTTTGCGCACCATCACAAAATAATAAACATTTTACCTTAAATGCTGACAAGTTGATTTTTTTTAAGAGTATAAGCTCAAATTCCAACTGGATACCCTTGTCTGCATAAATGCTTAAAAGATCATGAACCTTCTCAAGTCTTACCACGGGAAACAGGACTCAGCTTTAGCAGAAGCAGAAGTGAGAAAATACAAAGCAAGAGGCTCCTACCTTAATTGTTCTGTCCAAGGAAGCACTGGCAAACTGATTGTTGTCCTTGGGGTTGATGACAATCTGCATAACATAATGAGTGTGACCCTCAAACACCTGGCTGCATGACCACTTCTTCTCCCAGTCCCAAAGCTTGATCAACATGTCATCTGCAATGACACAAAAACACAGTCATGCATGTGTGATCACATAAATACATTGAATAAAGACAATTCTTCATAGTATGATCTGTGAAGCAAGCGTATGCAGAATGCCACAGATTTACAAAAAAACTAAATAAAGAAAGAAATCATGCGTTTACTAGCGTACCGCTGCTGGTGAGGATGTATGGCTGGGTTGGATGGACAGCAATGCAACGAATGTAGTCGGAGTGTGCCTCAAACATGTGGACTCGCTCCAAGGTGTTGTAGTTGAACACACGGATCTGCATGTCATCCTACACAGGGATGATAAAAAAGCTGAATTACTACTTGAAAACACATCATTTTAAGATTTTGACAACATTGGAAAACAGGATATGATCATGTGACTCCCTCAAAAACTTAGTGCACATAACATCTGAAAGATAACAATATCCTTAAAAAAATCATGTCATTAGTTTTTAAAAGTATTACTTAAAAGTTACTATTTGGCACTTCTGTTGCTTTTACCAGATGCAAGTGGATGTCTCCCTAGTGACCTGGTAGTTGACTATTTGAGTGGCAGACCACAGCATGTGTGGGATCAGGTAGGGTGATGAGGAACTATGCTGTGGCAGCAACTTTGTTACGTAGTGGGAGCAGAGCAATCTGCATCTTAATGTGGGAAAAACTATGGAGCTAGTTGGGGAGGATTAGAACACTGATGATTCGTATTTCTATACATGAGATCTGGGCAGACACAGGGAATGACCACAATAACAAAAAACTGAACTTCAATAAAAATACAGAAGACCCCCCTACAGTAAGTGCTAAAGGAATATCTACTTTCTGAAATGACTGAGCTCTTTTAATATCTGCTGGATGATGCACAAGATTCTCTGGTGGCCAGTGGCATTCTCTATTTTGTTGTGTTTGATGGGGCAATAAGCTGATCCACAGGACCAGAAATGTTGCTGATTTGGAACCTGACACTCTGAAAGCAGTGTCAGAAAAGAGGATGCTATCCAAGTTATCGAGAATACTGGTCAGTCTTTTTAACCCCATCCATGACAGTCACCAGAGCATGTTTTCATTTGCCATGTCTTGTTTATAATATCCATATAAACAATGGATAAACTTTTTGGAGTACTTTTTGGAGTATTTCATTTAACATTTAACAACTTTTTGGAGTATTTCATTTAACATACAGCACCTTTGAATTTTTTTATTTTTTTTTTACCTTTCTGAGCTGTGATCCCAACAGAAACAAGTAAATATCACTCACCGCTCCTGTGATGACCCAGTTCTTCCTTGCCACAAATTTAGAAGCTCTGACAGGCAGGTCGCAAACTTCGAAAGTCTTGACAAGAGTCTGAAAAGAGAGCCGGCTTATAGTTTGCAACATATGGATGCGACACATCAGTGATGATCTATATGGATGTGAAGTCAGCCGTCTTTTTTTTAATATAAGCAATTTGGCACGGCTGTCACACTGGCTTCGTACCTGAGTTTCGTGGTTCCAAACACAGACGCTGCCGTTGTACAGACTAGCCAGCATCCATGGCTCAGTTGGGTGAAGGTCCACACTCTTCACCCGGTCTGACCTGGCTGTCAGCCTCCGCTTAATGTCCAGCCTCAGAGGCTGAAAAGACGGAAAGAGATCAGTGTTTCCAAGCGCTGTTACAGGTGTTATGTTGAACTTAAAGTGTATCTTAAAAGCAATGAAGCTTCAAACAACAACTGGTAGCAAAACCAAAGCATCGATTAGCAGCTAGCATTCAACTCAATACATTTCGTTTAATCAAGCTAAACCTGTAACTGTGCATCCGTTAGTAATAACTGCGCAACTAACTCAACACAAATGTACCCACATGCTAACACTGGGGAAAAAAGCTTAGGTTGGAAATCCTAAAAGGCCGTAAGCTACAAGCTCTCGTGCTAACTCAAGCTAATTAGCCGCTAAGCTAGCTGCAAGATATTATTATTTGACATTGATTCACGGCTCTTTTTAAAACAAATAAGTTGGCATATATACAAACAAAAACACACTCTGTGATGTTTAAAATGCCTCTTACCATGTTTTGTCCCCGTGTTGTCACAATAAAATCAGAGAAATGTGTTGCGAACACTTTCAATCGGGGTCCAAATGTTGCGTTTTCTCAGTGAACAGCCTAGTGGACACTGACGTGGAACTTCCTGAAACGCAATCTCGCGTGAGTTGAGCCGTGCAAGTGCTGACGTGACAACATCCGTGAGCTTTGCTGCAGTCAGTCGTCAGGCTGCCACGGTGTCATTCTATGCTGTGTGTAAAGACTATATCCTATGTCTATTTTTATTCTATTATATCAGTTGCTATACAAATATAACTTCACCACCATCCATGGTTAGCCTATAAGATAAACAGGGCGCCTTTCCAATGTCATATTTTAAGATGAGTAATTTGTTGTCAATTATTTGTTTCGAAAGCAACATGAAAATTGTCCTAACCTTGTTGTCAGCTCAGTCTTATGTCCGTTTTATAATAAAAATGTAAAAATATGTAATTTTTTCTCCATTACTATCACATCATTGTCTGTTGTTAGATAGATAGATAGATAGATAGATAGATAGATAGATAGATAGATAGATAGATACAATATGGTTCGCAAAGCATCTTTATTCATCGATTCATTCTGCTCATATATTTAACAAAACATGTCACGTTCATTTAGAAGCATTGACTTTATTATTCTTTTCTCTTGAACACCTGACGACAAACTACACCTTCACATGTCAGCTCCTGTGGAGGAAGAGAAATCTGTTAATGTTATTCAGCAGAGGGATCAAAAGAACATTAAGCAATGTTATAGCTGGCCATTTTATACTTAACAGTCACATCCTGATTATGCAACACCTCCCACTAATGCAGTGGTTCCCAAACTTTTTTTTTTTGCTAGGGCCCTCTTTGTTTTACAAGGAAAATGGGTTTAAAAACATAAACAACTGTAGGATACTGTTTGTCTATTTAGTAAACCCATATTTACTGTTTGAACCGGGGGAACAAATTGTGGCAGGATCAGCCTGATATTATTTGTATCCCGCTGTAACTTTACTGTATAAAGAGCTAACATCTCCAAAATGTCAGGAGTAGTTAGTCATTACAACAAGTGTTTGTGAACTAAAAATCAAGAATGTGGGATACTGTTTGTCCGTGATTTGAAGAGCCCAGCGTGTGAAGGGAAAACCAATTATGCAGGGAAAACCTACCTTGGCACTTGTGCAGGTGAAACCAAAGGGAAGATATGCTTCATCATATTTTCTAGTCTTTGGCTTAGAATGAAGTTGGTTTGGAAACATACAAAGCTATGCTTCATCTCCTGCTTTGCGTTTGTGTGGGCACCCCGTGCTAACAGTGTCCAAGCGGTTTTTTGGGTTTTTTTTCCCTTTTCATACCGCGCCCCCCCTGCAATGGCTCTGCGCCCGACCTAGGGGGCGTGCCCCACACTTTGGGAAGCTCTGCACTAATGGGACACATTTCTTTATTATCATTCAGCACAAGCTCACTCTCAAATCTTTAATAACAATAAAAATAAAAATAAAAATCTAAATATCAGAAGCACTGTTAGCCCACCAGGTAGAGTTTGTCTCCTTCAGTCCAGTGCTTCCAGCCACGGTTGGCCTTCTCGCCTTTCTGAGTGCACACAAGCTTGTCCCCATCCCACTTCACCAGACTCTGAAGACAACAGTTAAACAGTTAAGCCAGTTTTTAGCTGGCGTAATGTAATTTTGTCTGAACATTGTGATAAAAAATTTCATGTTCAGATAAGCTTATATCACTGCTGCTCACATGCTCAGATTTATAACCCGAAGGCTAATGAACACTAACCAGCTTATCCTTGCTTTTATGCTAGTTTTTTTTTTAGCACTGACTTATCATAGGCATTTTTGCTCATTTTTTAAAACATTAAAGCATCAGCTAGTGCAGAGTATTAAATGAAACTTGACACTGATAAGCTTATAAATCAGTCTGAAATATACAGGACTGAATACTAATTACACATATATGAAAGATGGATTCATTTTTTAAAGAACCTTTTGTTTCAGGTATCCTGGACACACATGGGAAAGGACTGACTTATCACATCTGGACTCCAGTGGTTATCTTACCTTGACATTTCTGTTGTCTAGTCCCTTGGTGTACTCATCAAACTCCACCCCTACAGTGAAGGCCAGCTCATAATTCCTAAAGGTGCTCAGTGTTTTTAAGTCAAACTTGTCCCCATCTTGGAAAACCACTTTGGTCTGAGATAGGGAGATGGCAATTTTCCTTGTAGCAAAGTCAATATCTAGGAGCAGATTACAGAAGATTGTTCAGGCTGTATCTGAAGAGGAACAGATGATGAAGTGCGGATGAACTGTGGTAACTCCTTAGTTACATATTAGTAATATAGCTAGCTTTGATTTTATATGTTGCGGTGATGTGAAAAAGTATTTGCCCTCTTCCTGATTTCTTATTTTTTCCATATTTTTCACACTTGTTTCAGATCATAGACAAAGAAAACCTGAATAAATGCAAAATGCTATTTCTGAATGATGAAGAAAGAGGATAAGGATCAAAGCTGTTCCTATGTTAAATGAATTTTTTTGGGAAGGTTTTAGTCTCGTTACATATGGAATAAAACTAACAAAGCATTGTATTGAAAGTACAACAAACCAACAGTTAAACATGGTAGTGGTAGTGTGATGGTCAGTGGCTGCTTTGCTGCTTCAGGACTTGGACGCTGATAAAAACCATGGTTTTAAATGATAAAACCACAAATTCTGCTCTCTACCAGAAACTCCTGAATATCTGACCATTAGTTTGTGTCCTGAAGCTCAAGAGCACTTGGGTTATGCAGCAGGTAATGATCTGAAACATCTAAGTGTGACAACTAGGCAACTATCTAAGACATCAGGAAGAGGGCAAATACTTTTTCACAGCATAATATGTATGTGTGACGTATAATCACACTCAGTTTTACTCAACAAGAATCTGTAGTAAGTAGCTCAAAATTAGACGGTTATTCTGTTAAGAAAAAGATTAAAAGTATTAAAATCTTTTAATCTTTCTTTAATCATATAACTAAGACATTTTAGTCTAAAATTGAACATATCAGGATGTAAGTTTTCTTACTCAGTACTTTCAAGTAATCCTCAAATTTCTCACTGGATTCCAGTATCCATTTTCCACTAAAGTCTGCTGGCATGGCTGCAGCTGGTGAAGCTGACATGTGACTGAAGAGTGTAGGGAGGGGGGAAGAGGCAGGGTGTCCTCTTGCTTTTATATGAGTGGGGGGCACGGGGGCAGAGTGCAACTGATAAGTGAGTTTATAGCTTAAAGAGGATTGGCAGGGGCAGTTATTTCTGAGGGGGAGGACATGCTTTCTGCGGTCACCGACGGAGGTTACCACAGGCACATCTGTGGGCATCCACGTTAAAGTGTACCATCACCATCGCTCTCATTGCACATGCACACTTGCAGCACGGGTCAGCATGCAATGTGTAGCCAGGAGAGGCTATTCTGTTTTCAGTGCTAACACTGTTTGGTCTGTTTCAATGGCAAACTCAACCAGAGCATTTGAACTTTGAACAGGTTAGAAGGTTAATAAAGTTCAACCCAACCGTTTTGTTTTCCAGAGATCCCCTCCAGAAGGTTTAATGCTACAGTATAATCACATTGAAGCACATTTAACTAAAATGCAGACTTAAAAAGAGCCCACCTTCAGCAGATGACCCACAAATTTATTGAGAATAAATACGCTTCTCTGGTTTCGTGTCGACACCTCACTCCTTCATAAAAGAACTTTTTTTTAAAACCACCCCAAGCAAGAGGACATAAATCAATAACAGCTCCTCTGAGGAATGATAAGTCAACAGAGCTTGCAGGTATACGCTGGTGAGGTGCCTGTGTGTGAATGCACAACAAGCAGCAGGAAGGAGTCAAAAGAGCAGCGTGATCAGAAGCAGCAGCGAAGAATGAGCAAGTGAGTTGCACAACACGTATAGATGATGCCCAATTGGTAATGACATGGCACAAAGCGAGATGACAGATTAAGTGATTCAAAGCTAAATGTGACCTGAGCTGTTTGGTTCATTTGCAAGAGGAAGCAAAGAGATTTCTCTCGCATGGGAAGAGAGGTATTTTCATCTCAAAAGAGCTTCTGATACACTGGATGGTTTAGAACGGCTTCATTTATTGATTGATTCAACTTTCGCAGCCACAGTCTTAAAGGAACTGGGACAAATACATGTAACATTTTTATTCTGGAGACTGAGCATCTCAGCCAAGTTCTGCTCTTACCAAACAGGGCGCCTTCAGCTGTAATCATTTACAAAACTAAGTCAGTACATTTCTCTTCACTGCATCCACAACATTCCCAGCTGGCTCGCCCATCAGATCAGCTACAGCTATGGCACTTACGCATGCGTCCAGCACATCTAAACCTGCTAATAAAATACACAGCATTGAATTTTGTGGTGTTATATGTCAACTTGCCCATTTGTGCTACAAAGAAATTCCTTTGGCAAAGTAAGGCAACAGCATGATGGAACAGAAACGTGTGTTTGGTGAATTCACTACAGTAACATGGACACACAGACAGGCCGGAGGGATAAAAGGAAAGTCGGACTGTATGTTAGAGGAAGAGGTTGTTCCTGATGTGTCTCTCTGAGCCAGTTTTTGGTGCGGGCACCAGACTGTCCACTGAAAGCTGCTTTAAGTCTTCTTGAAGACCTGCTTGGAAACAACTCCTGCAGCTCTCAGCTCCTGGAGAGAAAAATACATGTTTGATATGTTTATTCAGACATGTGAGAGACTCAGAAAGTAATGCTGACCAATGAGAACCTCTAAGCAGTAGATGGACAAGGATTAGTGTCATCATTAACCAGAAGTAAGTGGTGCTTCTTTACTTTAATCATAAAAAGTGATACAAAAAATTACCAACTTGTAGTTAGTAAGGGGGGAGGGGCTAAAAACATCAGAGCTATCACAAACACTGGCATTCAAGGTCACATTGAACCCTGTGGCCGATTTAGAATCACCAGTTAAAATAACATGCATGTCTCTGGACTGTGAGTGGTAAGAACCCATGCAGGTACAGGGAGAATGTGAAAAAACTCCACACAGAAAGGTCCCTGCAGGCCGGTAGATTCAAACCCAGGACCATGAGGCATCACTGCTAACCACTGCACTACTAAATGCCCCCCTAAAAAAATGAAAAATTTAAAAGAAAAGAAAAAAAACAAGGAAAAAAGATGTTCAAGCTTTAAAAGTAAAAGAAAAACAATACCCTTTAGTTTATTTCATTTTAAAAAGAGCTATGTAGCCAAGATAAGCATGTAAACCTGAAATATGGCAGCACTGTGGACTATTGCAAGATATAAACGAGAAGAACAAATCGGTCTCTCTAATCACGACAAGATTGTTGGTTTGTGTCCGTTCAACCTTGTAACACAGAGATCACTGATGTTGTTTTATTTTATTGATCGCAGATTATTTATTTTCCCAAAGACATGGGTGAATCTTATTGACCCACAAAAGAACACTAAATCCTTCAAATGACCTGAAAAAAGTCGCCCCTCTTTACACTGAATTAATACACATTTCCAATTGCAGTTCATGTGTCAGCCACCAGGGGTCTCTGTTGCTCTACACTCAAACCGGCTCTGGGGAGCTCTCCACTAATACTGTAACTAATTTCAGGGAAGCTGATTGAAAACATCTGCTAGCATCACTTAAACCAAATAACTTGGCAGATTATTTTTTGTTTAGCTTTGATGGCCGTAATCATACACAGGAAAATCTGATAATGCTGTGCTAATGAAAACACTAATGGGCTACTTATTGCGTTAATGTATTTTCAGATGCAAATGCACTTTAACAGAATTTATAAAAGCATTTGTGATGCATTTGTTGGCTAACTCGAAGGCTCTGCTCATAATGACTGACAGAGGTGCCAACTACAGGAGTAGAAGAATTTGGATGGCTTTTAATTTCACAGTATGCACATTTTTTTTTTTTTAATCATGCAGTTTGCATCTGGAGGGAACACTTGGGAATCAAATATGTGAGCAGAGCTATTTAATTAAGTGGAAATAATTATTTGGCTGTGAGTCAGTTGTGTAACTGTCAGAAATCCTCCATACAGACTGTAATGTTACTGCAGCTTGAGCTGGTAGTTAATTCATACTAGAGTCCCACATAAAAATCAATGCTCTTCACATACAGCGCTGAGAGGCATTCTGGATTTGGATTAAAGTGTCTAAATTGAATGCATTAATATTCATGGCAGGGACTGATGTTTTCTTACCAGATGAAGCTCATCTCCCTCCACCCAGTGGGTCCAGCCTCTCCCTTCGATCTCTCCCTTCTGCACACACACCAGCCTGTCCCCCTCCCAGGTGATGGTGGTCTGCAAGACATCACAAGACAGAGAGAGAGAGAGAGAGTGAAAAAAGCATGAGGCATCAGGGAAGGATCTCTTACTACTCTTAAAACAGAGCATATTGATTTTAGTATGCAGAATACAATAAGCTGAATGAGTGACCCAGTTCTCACCATTTTCCATAATTATTCAGATAGATCTTTACGCAAAAACATGTGAATTTCCCTCTTAGCGGCACTCCAAACAGCTTAAAGCTTAACTAAAATCAGCCCATAAGCATACAAAAAAAGGGCTTTCAATGGGGACCACAAATAATCTGTGATCCTATTCAGCAGTCAGTGACATAATCTGATTAAATATGAGTTCTATCCTTGACCAGTTCTTTCCATGCAGCATTTGACATTGTTCCTTTTTACAACAATTTATAAGAGTTTGTAAAAAGTTGGAGGAAACTTTTATGAGTGGGTAGATTTTTTTTTTCTGCTATTGTATAAAACAACCAGTTCTTGCAACACCATGTGCTCATTATGCTGAAGGGTGGAAGTCGTTTACACGCCCACAGAATCTGCACTCCCGTGTGTCAGTGCCCAAGATCCCAACACCTGGCAGCAGTTTGGTTCATCTGTGATGTTTAGCTAAAGTCTCAGCAGGTTCCTAACTACAGACACATTTAAGTACAAAAAGTAAAAAATCTTACCATGCATTTCCTGTCGTCCACTCCAGACAGATCCTCCTCAAACTCTTGGCCCACGTAGAAATCCATGTTGTAGTTTTTGAAGGTGCTGAGAGTCTTGATGATTATGTGGTCGCCCTCGTGAACGATGTCCTTGTCAGGCTTCAGCAAGGTGGCAATTTTCCTGATGGCAATGTTTACATCTGGCCCGTGAGCAAGGTGACAAAAAATGAATTGAAAACAAAGAAGCAGTGAGGTTTTATGCATATATGGACACACAAAGAATTGCCTCAGATTGTGTAAAGATCAGGTTTATAATTTCATCATTGCTTTTTCGAGCTGTACATTTGTGATCTGTGCCTTCCTTCTCTGGGCTTGACTCCCTGCTGAACTGATAAACTCACCCAGAGCTTTCAGATACTCCTCGAAGTTATCATTGGAAATCATTTTCCAATATCCGGTCAGATTAGGGACCATGTTGGCTGTTCCTCTGCTGGTTTCTTCACTTCCAGAGAATGAGGAGGTCTGTTGTGGACATCTGCTGGGGATGGAGTGCAGAAAACACTCTCAAAAGCCCCAATTTGAACCAAACTCATTTTAATCCGATTACCCTGCTGGGTTTCACTTCTTTTTTTTTTAACGGAAAATGTTGCTGGCACCTCCCACTTCCCTCCCAATGCCAACACCACGTAATCTCTCAATCCTCACCACGCTTTTACTGTGCTGGGAACCAGCGGTATGCATGTAAACACTTGTGTGCCTTGTGTTGGAGAATGCTTACGTGTTTAGGTGGGATTAGGATCAATACGCCTTCTCTATTAATTGACACAGGCCTGTTTATTTATGAAGCCACGTGTGTCAGATTTGGCCTGAAAGCTGATTCTTTTGTATAAAATGAGGCCTGCTTCACTGACGTTTGAATCAGTTTTTTCTTTTTTTAAAATTAAATATCGAAGCCATCGACAGACTAAATGAGTACAAAAGAAATCACTCAGAGAGCCAGTGAAAATGGCTGAATGGAGCATGCTAAGAGGATAATATTCACAGCACAAAAGCAGAATCACCTGAGCTTAAAATGATCCAACTCAAACAATTAACTGGCACAATATGTCTGTCACATCTTCTGTCTCGCCTAAATAACTCAATTAATTTGATAATCTCTCTTTTGGGCAGCACGCTGCAGCCAACACACCGCCTAAATCCTTTGCTGACTGAAAGACAGGCAAAGACACACACCATCATCATAATCGCCACTATTTAGTATCAATGGAATAGCAGCGCTTTCAGCCATTGGTCTCAGTGAGAAAACACCTCCCGTAACCGAGCAACTGTCAGGATTACTTTAAATCCTTTGGTGGAAGAAACGCGGGCCTCACAGACACAGTGTGTGGATGACAATGGTGAAAATGAATAGAGCCAAGAATGAATCGCTGTTGTTAGGAGAGGCAGCTGCTGGGTAGAAACACCCACAGTGACACTCACATAAGAAATACGAATCAAAGAAGAAGAGAAAAGATGCAGATTCAAGTCTACTTACCTGGAAGCCTAGCAACTAAGATGTACACTCACTGGCCACTTTATTAAGTATTTACTAGCTTACTAGTACAGCTCTGGACCTCCTTTTTGCCTTCAGATCTGCTTTAATTCTTCATGGCACAGATTAAACAAGGTGCTGGACACCTCAGAGACTTTGTTTCATATTGACATGAAAGCATCACACAGCTTTGCTGGCTGCACATCAATAATGTCAATCTTCAGTTCCACCACATCTCAACGGTGCTCTATCGGATTGAGATCTGGTGACTGTGGAGGTTGTTTGAGCACAGTGAACTTATTTTCACGTTCAAGAAACCAGTTTGAAATGATTTGAGTTTCGTGACATGGTGGGTTATCCTGCTGGAAGCAGCCAGTAGAAAATAGGTGTACTGTGGTTATAAAGGGAGGGACATGGGCAGCAGCAATATTCAGGTAGGCTGTTGCATTTAAATGATGCTCAGTTGGTACTGAGGGGCCTAAAGTGTGCCAAGAAAATATCGCTGGCACAATTACACCATCGCCACCAGCCCGAACTGTTCATACAAGAAAGGACGGATGCATCAGGATGCAAGGAGACTGGAAAAACTGGTGAGAAAAGCTGTCTGTGTAACTGGAGCCACTTGAGATGGTTGGAAAGATGCACACTAAAGATCTTAGAAGCCATCCTCAACAACTCTGATCGCCCACTTTACAACATCTCTATGGAAAAAAAAAGATTCCTCTCCTTTCAATGTAAAATAGAGAAAGTCATTCGCACCCACAGCCAACAGGCTTTTCAATTCTCATACAAATAGCAGACAAGCCAACGCAGACATGCGAATTTCTCTCTGGGATCAATGAAGATGTTCTTATACGTCTTATTCTACATGCCTAAATGCATCATGTAGCTGTCGTGTAATCGGGTAATAAGATATTTACATTAATGAGCAGCTGAACAGCCGTGAATCAAAGTGTATTCTTGTGATATGTGAAGCACATCATACTTTATTTATGATTTGATTTATTATTTTTTAAACTTGCGTTTAAAAAATAATAATTTTTCATATTGAATTGTCTTGACTTTCTTTGTTAAAGTGAGTGTATCTGTCTCTATGTCAACAAATGTTTGTGAACTGCGTAAACATCTGGCACATAGATGGGATATAAGACTTCAATATGAAAGTCTTTTTAAATGTTTTAAACAAATAAAAACCCCAGCAGTCATTTTACAGCCTTTTTTTTGTCGCGTGTGTGTTTGTGGGACTTGGGCCGACAAAAGCATAGAAAAATAAAATAGTCATGCGGGAATACAAAAAATATTTTATTTGAATTAATAGAACTGCCATCAAGTCCAATGAGTAAAAACACTGAATGGTGAGAAATCTCTAGGAAAAAATGTAGGATGAAGATGTGGCTCAGTATTTGCATCACTTTAGAAAACACCATGTTTGTGTTTGGATGCTTCTTACTAAAAAAAAAGAAAAAAAGAAAAGTGATGCCTGGAAAACACACTTAGGCCAACAGAGCGTCCATTCCCTGAAGACAAGCACTCATCTGTGAGTGAATTCACCCTTCGAGGGCTCCATCAGTCGTCTAGACTCTTTACCGGCTCCTGTGCCTGCTTAACGAGTGGCCTCAGCACCGCGCTCTTATTTCTCATCTCGCTGTCTTCTGTGTAAAGGTTGTGTCGGTGAATATATTCTATCACAGAGTCTGGAAGCAAGTACTTCACACTCAGACCCCGTCTCAGTGCCCGGCGGACCTCCGTGGCGCTCGTCTCGTTCTTCACCCACTCCCTCACGTGGAAAATGTTGTGCCTGCGGTGGGACAGCAGGTCCGACTCGTGCACGGCCCGCTCGGGCTGCAGCTCCCCTCGACTGACGCAGACGAGGCCAAAATGCCCGACCAGCTCCTCGACGTGGTCGTCCCGCCACAAGCCGGGGATCTTGAAGGTGTCTAGGAAATCTGCCCCACACAGAAGCTTCAGCTGGGGAGACAGATCTGAGTGGGGTGGCAGAATAAAACAGAGAAAATGACTATTTACACACTTTCTAACCAGTTTTTATGATAAAACAAAAACAACGATAAAACACGGTGTGACGAATATAACAAACTTAGTTTAATTTCCCTCCAGAGATAGCTTAAAATATGCAAGGGTCTATTTCAACCCCTCCAAATTCATTGTTTTTATATCCATCTACACAATTTTAATCATCTTCCAGCACTATTGGTTTCCTTCAAATTAATATGTTGTCCTGCAGCTGGATATGCCAGTCCTCTTTCTGAGCAATCTCAACAGCAAAGAGTGACACAATCCCCATGTGCTCCTCTTTTTGAATACAGGGACAGAGTTCAGTGGGTTCTTGCCAACTGCCTAGTCCACAACCAAGCTTAAAAAAAGAAAAAAAAGAAAAAAAAGTACTTTACTGAACTGCCTCCTCGAAGAGTCCACACACTAATAGGAAGCAAAATGTAAAAATTGAAGGCACCAGTGATGTGAATATCAAAGAAAAAGAAAGTGAACATTTTGCGCCTGGACAGGGCAAATAAAATGCAGAACATGACTAAAACGGACTTGTTCCACAAATTACACAACTTAGATATTCATATCGCTCGAGGCTTAAGAAAATTATAACAAGACTAATTATTCTAGGAATTCAGCTTTCACATTAAAAACTTAGAAGGTTTGCATAACCCTGATAAACCGCAATAAAAAGGAGACTGAAGCAGCAGGCGAGACTTTCTACTGCAAAATAGGCTCTGCACACAATTGCAAGCTCTATCGGCTTTGTTTTTTTCGATTAGATTTCACGAGTTTCTGTGTTCATTTTTATTTTTTGTTTCTCACAAAATGTGTCATCTTTATATAATGTGGTGTGCAAAAGCAGTAAACCCCAGAAGGCATCCCTGTAAATGCACCGTTATAAATCAAAGTTAATCCATGAAAATGGGCTAAGAATTCTCATTGGCTAGCTTTCATTTATAAGATCTATCTATCTATCTATCTATCACCATTTCTAGTAGCAAAGTCAGCATACTAACAGACTGACAATAAAAAATTCAACATCTTCATGTTTATCAGAAGAACATAAAGCCCAGCTGATGCAGAGGGCTGACATGAATGTTTTACTCTTCAAAGATACTACAAGTTTCACTTTGAGCTGACGGTGGAAGAGTCTACGAATCATTAATACTACAGCAACGCTAGTGAAAACAGTAGTGGGAGAATGCAGCATGGCCAGATTTATTAGGTGCAATGAACTTGTGATCTTGGTTGCCCCGAAGATGAGGACCAGGTCTGCAACTACTCACAGTCTACTGCCATCTTTCAAAGCAACTTTGGTCCGTCAAGATGGCAATAAAACAGCAATAAGACTGCCATCCGTTTGTAACTGGATGGGCCCAAGTTCACAATTAGATGCAATCTATTTTGACAATTTGGCAGTTAACTGTGATAAATTGCCAAAAATCACCAATCTGCATACACAAAAAATCCAATTAAACACAAATTCATTTAGAAAAGTCTTGAATGAAGGAGCAATAGTAGCTTTCTCACATACAAGGACTTAATCGATCTAAACCCCTCCCCAGTTGCTGCCCGATGGCAATTTAACTGCAAAATGACATAAGCGCTCAGAAAGCTTTTATATAGGAAAATAACCACAATACAACCATCTGGCAACCAGTCAAGTCGAGTCCCCTATTGCGAAGAGTGTTGCAGGCAAGTCGTACTCATTGATGTAGACTAAATTACTTGGTAATTATATGCAAATGCTTGACAGTCTGTCTGAGAGTGACAACACTTAGTCCAAATGAGACCTCACTGTCTGGAGAACAGGCTGCCTCCCACCAGGTGACCCATGCAAATGTATTTGAGCTGAAAGTAGTCTACCAGAGGTTGAAGATGTTGCATGCTCAACCTACGGGGAACACGTTATGTTGGTTTTATGGTCCGACAAATGTGTTAGTGCACACACAAGATTCCAGTCGGAAAGAGGGGGAAAGAGATCTGAGATGCGCTCCTGTGCAGTCCTCCAAGACCTCGACTGTGCACCTGCTCTTCTCTGTAGCTGGTTGACTGACCAACAACAGCACAAGCAAGAGTCGTACCACATACTTGATTTGGGCTGCCATGCTGGACCATAAAAACAGCTTTTTCTCATGCTGTAGAGTGAGGAGCCATAAAGGGACAAGATTTCATTTTCTGCGGCTGTCTTTAAAATATGCATGTTTTGTGATAATAAAAACATAATATAAATACCTCTAAAAATCCTGACAACACTCTGTAGTCAAGAGTTTCTAAGCTGAACAAAAAGAGACTCTTACTCGAGTTGTTGTGCATTCCCACGCTCCGCTCATACTCCTTCAGAATACGCCCGTAATGATACCTGACAACCAAAGGAAAAAAAGAAAAGATACTGATACTTTGTTTTTTTTAAACAGTTATGTGGTAATACATGCAGTTTTCTTTCATTTGTGTTTGTGAATCCAACCATTTCCTCTTTGTCCTCAGTTTTCTGTTGTTTTATTCATGTGCAGTGCATCATTCCTGCTTTGTGCAGTAACTTACTGTTCATGCATGTGCTGAGGTAATCCACTATTCAGTCTAAACATGTCAATAAAGCTTTACTGAAGTGATTAGAAAAAGGAATAATAGCCACGACTTATAGAAAAGCCTTTAAAAGACATGAATGAAAACCTTCACTGTTTTCAAAGCTTCTTAAAGTTGTTCTGTATGTAAAAGTGTGTGCGTGTGTGTGTGTGTTGAATAATGTGTGACGTGGCCTGCTCACCGACTCATAACTTATAACAACAGTCCACTTCATGGCTTGATCAGCAAACATGGCTTACAGCAAGAATGAGACACAACTGGGCGTGTGCGTATAAGTGTCAGTTGTGGTCAGAAGTTACTATCCACTCATTGTGGGCATGAATTTCATGGTAATTTGGAGCTCTTAACAATTCCTCTGAACTGTTCTTTTACCAGGGTGGAACGATTGTACACCATACATCTTTAATGACTTTAAAAAACACAAGAACTGGGTCCATGATTCTGAATTTTCTCTAGTCTACAAAAAGTCAAAATTATACACACAGGCTCAAATATATACAAACACTCTAAAACCACTTATTAAAGGATTTAATAAAGGCTTTGCAGTGTCTATTGACTTGACAAGGGCTATTAACTTCTTGTTGGTCGTCACGATTGACTAAAACTGGTTTCTAGTTACAAACATAATGGGATTTATTGATTAACTAATTAATTTACTAATTTGATTAACCAATACTCAGAACAATTGGAAATTCCAATGAATTCAGTGAAGATTGATGAAAGAGATTTGTAGATTTACACAAGTTGAGAAGGTCTCTAGGAGTCATTTCTACATAAATGTAGATTCAAGAGCATCAGTTCACTTCATTTTGGTGGAACACCACTTTGCCAAGGTCTGGGGAAAGATCTGGACTGTCACCATCAGATAAGATGAAACTGGTTTGGATGACCAGCCTCAATCCTGGTCAAGAAGTTGCTCACACCTACGGTAGGCTAACGCCACCGCCCCCCGTCCTAAATTGGATAAGCAGAAAAGAACGGATGGATGGATGGATGGACGGATGGATGGATGGATGGATGGATGGATGGATGGATGGATGGATGGATGGATGGATCTCTTGGGTCAAATAAATATGAAAATTCTGTCCAGTTAACTTATATGTTAGTGAGCGAGCAAATACTCAGTGGGGCCTCTTTCCTATCCTTTCGCTCAGTGCAGCACCTCTCTTCAAACATATTCATCGCTCAGGCAGCCTTTTGCCACTAAACCGTTCCCAGTTGGCAAATGAATTTAACAGCCCGTGGTCCTAATTTCACCCCATGACAAAAAACAGGCCTGATATGGATCCAGTCTAGTCTAGCAGCCCCCAAGACACTAAAGCCATAAATTAGGCAGGAAACCTGGTGGCACTCTTACATAAACAGCACAAGCTTGCATGATAAAGGGCTCACAGAGGGGCAGCAAAGGACAGTGGATCCCTGCAAACTCTGCTGGTAAGACTAGGATAATCTTATCTTCTTGCACATTAAAAAAATCATACATATGACATGATATGAGACTCTCTAGCTATAAAATGCAGTTATTATGACAGGAGATATATTTTTTGACTGGAAATACACAACACAATGTTTCAACCAGTTCAATGTTTCTGATTAACCATCGAATTGCCAGCGCCAGGGACTTACTGACTGTGCATGTAATTGTCTGTGAGGTGTGTTCATAAAGGGTGACAGGAAAGAGAAAGAAAAATTGTTTCAACCATTCACTTTCTTGCACAATATCGCAAGATTGTTTTAAAATTTTATTTTAAAACTAATCTCCAGCAGTAAAGATGCTTTATACCTCATAGTGACCACTGTCTCCATCCAGTCTGGCTGCTGGCTCTCCCATTCATCAACTGTGACCCAGTTGGAGCTCTGAAGCGCCAGCTCTGCCATAGCAACACGATGCTTAGCCAGTACTAGGCCTTGCTTTCCATAGCTGTCACTCACTGGGGACACAATGCCACCCACCACTTGGTACTGGCCTGAGGGGAGAGAAGATTAACAGAGTTTAACTGGGTCACGACAGGGAAAAAGAAATGCAACTGTCATGTATAACAGAGATAGTGGCGTTGATACAATTAATGGTTTATCAGATCTCACATTTGAGGACAAATAAGACAATTATTCTCTTTATAACGGAGTGAGAAAGGTGGGTGATCGTGACAAGGTGTCTCAAATCATACTGTGTCATCAGTTTTAGAAAAAAGTGTGTTTATTTAGCTGACAAAGTTGGAAACAATCAGACACAGGAGGAAAAACATCTACTGTGATTTCTGAATGTCAACCTCAAGCTAGTCAGCTGATGCCTTATAGGTAAGGGGGTCGAAGGGAAAACTGTAAGAGCATTAATGTTCCTGCACGTTGAAATGCTCAGAGCAGCTTTACGATGTAAATGTCCTGAATTTATATAAGGAGGCTGTGTCTGCTGAAGCTGGGATTGTGTGGCAGAGCAGATCAGAACATAAAGCTTAGGGTGACTAATATATATAAACATTGTTTGTATGATTGTATGGGATTCTTCGTACTGGGGTCTTAAAAGATGCAGCAATTGATTTTTTTTTCGGCCACTAGGGGGCAAAAGACCTCCACTGCCTGCTGAAAAAAAAAAGAGCCTAATTTCGCTTGCGGCAGACACAGAGAAACATTAGCATTCGTTTGGAGTTGTGTTTATGGCAACTTGACATAGGTATTCAGCTCTCTCTTCTCCAGCTAGTCGTAAAGTTTGCATGTCTGCTCTTTAGCGCTAGAAAGGTCGTAGGGAGTTTTATCAGGGATTGGTTGCCACCGCGGCAAGGAACAAGACAAATGACAGGGCGACACTCAATCAAACAGGCCACAAGTGATAAACAATGAGCTAGTCTAAAGAGCTCTGAAAAGTGGCATAGTTGGGTTGTAATACATCACATATATAGTACCGTGCAAAAGTCTTGAGCCACCCCTCATTCCTTTATATTTTGCTAGGAAATAGTTTCAGGGATTTATTGAAATACATAGAATATACATGGAAATGCAGCATATGAGGCACAAACAGTTGGTACAAGTCTGATGAGCTTCAGAGTCAATGTTTCGTATGAACACTTTTATTCTTCAACACAGCTTAGGCAGGTTTCTTTGTAATTTCTTTAAGCAGTCTTCAGGAATAGTTCTCCAGGTTTCCTGAAGAACTATAAGCTATTCTTTGGATTCTGACTGACTTTTGCTCTGTTTTCTGTCTAGATGATCCCACACTGCTTCAGCAATGCTGAGGTCCGGGCTCTGGGGAGGCCAATCCATGACTGATAGTGTTCCAACGTGTTTCTCTATACAGGTATGCTTTTACTGATTTGCCTGTGATTTTTGGGAAAAAGAAACAAAGCGTTCGCCAATTAGACGCTATCCAGATGTTTATAATTCCATCAATTTTTACTTTTTGACAGTCACCCTTCTACTGAGACCATTTCTGATGGGGCTTCATCATGAACAGTAGATGGATCAACTGAAGGGTCAGGTGCATCTCTCAGGTCCTGCTATACTTATTCCTTAAGGACACGATTTTCAGATACTGTTCATCTGCTGTAGTTTTTAGGCCTGACACGTGTGGGTCTGGCCTTCACTTGTCCAGTTTCCTCATATTTCCTCATATTTTTTAAGGACACCATACACACCATATGCCAACTTTACAGCTACTTGCTCTTTTGGGAACCACCTTGTTGCAAACATAGTATTTTAGGTCTGTCTAACAGTTACATTTGGCATTTTTTGTAGAATCAGTTAAGAAAATGAAAACAAATGATCTGTTTTGCAACAGGCTATTAACAACGTACCTAAAGATACGTGAGTGGGTGGCTCTTGGGTGAAGAGGTTTAACAATCAAAAAACATTCCTCTGAAATTGGGCAGGTACAGGGACTGGACTGAGTGAGTGAAAAAGCAGTCAGTGTGCAAAGAAAAACTTTAAAAGTCCTTCAGAGAGGCTGGACAACTATTACTCATTGCTTGATTAGTTGTTACTACAAAGTCTATTAATCAGTGGGCTTTATGGAGGAGATCTTACAGAGGCTGGTTTTCTTTAAAGTCAAACGATACAGCGATACACAAATGATACGGGGACGTAGCGTTGTCTGTATCTGACCTGTGCTGTGCATGTGGTCTCTGGCCAGCTCGAACAGCCTCATGTGCTGGTTGGTGATTGGATTAAATGAGCCGCAGGCTAACAAGACTAGTGGGACACGGCGGGCGGCCATCTCGGTTTAACCTCTCACACCGCAGTCAAAGAACCTTAGAGGAAAGTGAAACAGAGTATTAGCCAGAGTCGCGTGATGGGACAGAAGATGACGAGACTCAAGGAAGACAGCAATGAGAAACAGTCCTCTTCTGGAAACCTCTGCATGTAATCTAAAAAGAGATTAACACCACACACACAGATGAGCACAGTCTAACCCCAGAGAAGAAAAAATTAAACTCAGGTTCCGATCTTCTAACAATTTGTCATTGGGACACCAAATCCACTTCCAGAAACATCGAAAAGAATAAAGGATGCGGCGTTTTTCTGAGGCTGAGCACTGGACGAAGTAAACAGCTACAGTGCAGTTTTGTTTTACTGTCCGTGTTTGTGTGTGTAAAGAGCCCAAAGGGAAATAAACACCAGCCACTGCTCAGCCAACTCACCACTCACTCTGCCAGGAATCCAGCCAACATTTATTTCACTTTAAATTAACTTTCTTGACCAAAGTTCAGTGAGTAGTTTATCTCAACATTTAGATCTAAAATGTTATTCGTTTGGGATTTTATTCTAATAGGCATCTGTGTGAAATTGCTCATAATTAGGAAATTAATTCTTAAGTAAAGGTCAAAAAATGTTTTTATGAGGTCATACTGAACTCAACCTTTGACAATGAAAAGAGTAATGACTCTATCCTTGATTGAGTGTTTGAGCAAAATTTTGAAGCGCTTACATGAGTGGGATGAATGTACAAAGACAACAAAATGCCTCTGGCCACAGTTGTTGGCAGCATAGAAGCAAATAGCAATCCTTCTGGATTTTGGGCTTGCCTGATACCACAAAGGTATGCACTACTCTACTATCTGTGCCTACACAAAAACGCATCGTCAGTAATAACACTAAAATCCGGGGTTTTTTTGTTGTTTTTTTGCTTACTCAATTCAGGGTTGGGTTGGAGCCTCGACAGGCTGCCAGTTTGTTTCAGGGATACGCTCACATTCACATCTACACCTAATTTAAAATCGCAGATTTCCTGAGCCCAGAGATTTCAAACATAAGGCCCAGTGGCCAAAGCCTCCAGCAGCTGTTCACAGGACGGCTTTGGAAGATGTGAAGCAGAGTGTGGATTTTTTTTACTTTTAGTAAGCAAGTCAGTAAAATGTATTATCTGTATCATCTTTTGAGACAAAGATCAAAGGTAAAAAAAAAATACATAAAAATAAAAAAGCAAGTCTAAAAAGATGAGTTTTTAGTAGTTTCTTGAAGGTGATCACTGAGTCCATAGATCAGGTCAGAGGGAAAGATTTCCATTGTCTAGGGGGCCACTGTAGCAAAATCTCCATCTCATTTAGTTTTCAGCCTTGTATGATGCACAACAAGTAGGCCCTAATCACATGACCTCAGGGTGTAAATGTTTACTGATGTGAGCTGGTGCTTGTCCAGGAAGAGCTCTAAAAGTCAGAACCAGAAACTTAAAATATACTCTGAATTTAACGGGGTACAGTACAGCTGTTCAGCAACAGTGTGACTTGAGTACAAGTGAACAATGAATTATACTAATCCAAATAAATCCATGAATAACAATCTCCAGTTCAGTGCAAACCAGAAAAGGCCAAACAGCAGCAGAGTCTGGATGAATCCTCCTGAGGTAGTACGGTCTCAGGCGCTGCGTATCCAAGCAGGGACATAGAAGAAAAATTCCTCTCCATGGAAACTCGCTAAACACAGGTAACCAGAAATGCTCAACGTCCCTTATCAGCCAGTCCCTCACTTCCAAGAAAAGGCTTAGATTCATCTGCTCTTCTCACTCTCCTCTTCTGTGGTCTGTGTGTACCCAGGAGGGCACCAATGAGGACGCCAAATGAGGCAGTAGGGGATACAAAATGCAAACACAGGAGGATGAGGCACCTCCTGTGTTTTATTTTTCCACTATCTACAATACAAATGCCTGTTTTTAAAACAGTGTGTCCATGGTTTAAAAAACAATTTTTTTTTCCTGTAAAATAATATAAACTTTATATTTTATAACTACAGTACAGCCTGTGCAATGAGCTCCGTAATCACTCATCTGCCTGCTTTCCTAGGTGCTCGGCTGCTCTTCTATTCTTTACATCACTTCCACACGACCTACCTCCTCCCCATCCTCACCTCACCCAAGTCACTCAGACTCACTCAGACACTCAGCCAAGCCTTCATCCTCATCTCCACCACAACCAGCATCTACACATCCGGTGTGTCCTATCCTAAAACCTGTCCTGCTAGGATTACTTTCTGCCATGCTGGGTCACCTGATTCTAATTGCAAATTAATGGCGAAACAAAATTATTTCTCTATTTCACTAAATCATGTTCAATTCTTCGAAATGTTCTCTCCTTACTGCGCTTAATTAAGACATGTCAGGGATTGTTTAGCTTGTTTAGATACGTTTAGTTCAGTGGTTCCCAAACTTTTTTTGCTGGGCCCCCCTTGTTTTACAAGAAAAATGTTCGTGCCCCCCCTCGCGCGCACGAGCACATCCTCCAACCACACACACACATATTTTGCTCCATTGCGGTTTATTTCACACCTCAAACATTTAGTAAACAATTAAGCAAATACAAGTAATCTGCAATAAAATACAGGTAGTAAGAAAATAAACTACCAACTCTTTTACGCTACGTCCACACCTACACGGGTATTTTTGAAAACGCAGCTGTTTCGTCCACACGTAAACGGCGTTTCGAATCACCAAGAACGGAGATTTTTTAAAACTCCTTTTTTGCGTTTAGGTGTGGACGAGGAATACAGAGTTTGTCAAGCAAAGTCAAAGGTATGTGCCTTTTTTCACGTCACGCTGTGTGCACGTTATTGTTTACATGAGATGAATTGCAGAATGGCAGATAGAGACAAAATACTGTTAATCTGACTATATGCAGGTTTTACACGCTTACATATACACACGCACACGCAGTTACTGTCCCTCCATTTAGAAAGGCAGAGGCGTCACGGTGTAATTATTTTACATGTAGTTGTTTTTTTTCCCGTGTAATAATATTCAACATTGCTATCAATACATTTTTCAAAAAATCCCTCTGCAAAATGGGTTCAAAAACATAAACAACTGTTGAATGCTGTTTGTCCGTGATTTGAACCGGGGGAACAAATCGTGGCAGGATCAGCCTGATGTTATTTGTATCCCACTGTAACTTTACTGTATAAAGAGCTAACATCTCCAAAATGTCAGGAGTAGTTAGTCATTACAACAAGTGTTTGTGAACTAAAAATCAAGAATGTGGGATACTGTTTGTCCATGATTTAAACAGCCCTGCGCTGCTCCCGACGAAGGGAAAACCAATTCTCAGGGGAGACCTACCTCGGCACTTGTGCAGGTGAAACCAAAGAGAAGATATGCTTCACCATATTTTCTAGTCTTTGGCTTAGAATGAAGTTGGTTTGGAAACATATTCAGCTATGCTTCATCTCCTGCTTTGCGTTTGTGTGGGCGCCCCGTGCTAGCAGTGTCCAAGCGTTTTTTTTTTTTTTTTTCCCTTTTCATGCCGCGCCCCCCTGCAATGGCTCTGCGCCCCCCTAGGGGGCGGGCCCCACACTTTGGGAAGGTCTGGTTTAGTTAAACGTGCACCATATAAATTGATGTATTTAACTAGTAATTGTAATTTTGGGTATGAACAACAACAGTAAGATGCTGAACAGGAAGTCCTCTTCAGGAAGCGCTTTCAAATTACCAGCTCACTATGTTGAAAGAAAAAGAAGCTTTTGAAACACAACTTCCTCTTTGCACAAAGCTTTTAGTTTGGATGTGGACACTTAATACACCCTGCCTCACTCTGACAGAGTAATCAGACTCTTCTAGGTCATCTGGTAAATTCATTTTCACAGTTAGTACACTTGCACGCATTTCTACAATATCAACTTTAAATAAAGCTATGCAAGCAGGATCTCACACTCTCACTCCAACCCTAAAGTGTGTTTTTCTGTGAATACTCTACAATTCACATCTACTGGGAAGGCAAAATACGCCCTTTTTAAAATCTAAGTTTCTAATGATGTTATTAAGGCAGAATAACGTATGTGTCATAGATTGTAACATAATGAAGTTAATGAAGTAAGTTAAAACACCATCAACATTTGAGGAAGCTGTGACAGTCCACCTTGACATTGAGCAGGCAGCTAACAGTCGCTAGCTTAGCGGACTAATAAACCAGGCGTAACGCGATTAATCAGTTAAAACAAAATAACAGCACAGTCAAGCAGGCGTGATACAATCCACACAGTGATTAAAGGCAGTAGCGATAGTTCGTTTCATTACCTTCTTTTCACATTGTTGACGTTTGGCGAGTGTGTCACACTGATACCACTCCCACCCTCCCCGTGTTTGGAGAGGCGCTTGTTTGAAGGTTCCGCAGATAAAACCTGGCTGAAGTGCGACCCCTGGTGGATGAAGGTTACAGCGACGGAGCTCTCCGTGGTACTGAAGTACGTGCAAGTTGTTGACAAGTCTTTGTAGTTAAACGTAATAACGGTGCCTTTTCATTTATTAGATGCACATTAAAGAGCAATGTTACTTTTTTTGCGCTCAGTGCTGCTGCATCTGTGGGCAATGACGGCATCTTCCCAGAACACCTTACAATTAGAAGCTGACCTTTACAGCAATGCAGCATCAAACACCTATGAGCTCCAGGTAACCTTTGATTCTATTGTTGTAAACTGCTTGTCAGATGAAAGGGGAGAGCACTGTACAACACTAACTGACTGTCTATAGAGCAACCTGCAACTGATTACAAAAATGGCCACAAATCCCTTTTCCAATAACTGTGCTTTGCAGAGAAGGTACGAGAATAACTTTAAAAGAATGTAAGCTTTCAAAGAAGTGACATGGCATTTAGCGAGCCATTGTTATATATCACTATAAAAATAGAGCAAGCCCTTTCCTGTGGGGACAACTGCACCAGTTTCATATAGGGAGCAGTGTGTGTCAGTTAAAACCAACAAAGGAGGCTTTCAGATGTGTTCATGTTCACACAAATGGATGGAAGTTATCACTGATCTTACATTTATTGCTGTTTGAGGTAAAAAATTAAGTTATCGCAGTGAATATCCAGTCCCCTAATGAATGAAACAACTGTTTTCTTTCAGTTACATGAATAATCTAGCAGTGATAAACTGTTGATAAACTATTGAACAGTTTATCACTGCTAGATTATGCCATGACTGCTCATAAACAGGAAAAAAGAGGAACAAATTAATCCAACCTACTTTGTGTGAAACATTAAGATTAAATTGAGTATTTGTCAATAACACAAGAAGCAGTCTTTTAGTGATGACACAGTGATTTTCTCCCTTTCCCTATACTAAATAATTGCTGACCTGATGGCTTCACTGCAATTAGAAAGACAGCCTGCACACCATCTTCCCCCTTGTCACTGCTCCGCTGTGACTTAGCTCCCATTAGCCATGGAAACAGCCAGCCAGGAGCATGTGTGTGTAAGTAATTGCATGTGCATGTAAATGTGGCCCTTCTTGGACTTGTATGTGTGTGTTTTCTGTCTTTGTTATCCTCTTAACTCTCCTGAGGTCTGCCCTTCTCTCTCTTGCTCCCTCTAATCCCCAGAACACACACCCACACCCAGCAGAAGAGGAAGCAGGAATATGTGTGTGTGTGTGTGTGTGTGTGTGGGGGGGGGGGGGGGGGGGTAATTGAAGAACATGTGGTCCTCGCAGAAAACCAGTGATTCTGCCACAGGGTGGAAAGTGAAAGACTCAAATCTGTGAGGGGGAGTATAGCTGTGCTCTTCAGAGGCTCTTGTTAGGAGGATACAGCTGGAAAAACATCTCACTGTGGCAGCTGCTTCATTCAATTATAGCTCTAAGAAAATGCACTTTACTTCTTAATTAACGTACATTTCCCAGATGTAGCATATCTAAGATAACTGAGATGATTAAGGGAGGGTAACTGCTAATGACCCCACTCAAAGATGCTCGTGGTTGCTCACTAATCTAAACACTTAAATGGTCAGCAGCAAGGTGTGGCAACTGACACTCCAGTGAGCCTGGAAACATGATGTTACATTTACATTGCATTAGTCATTGGCAGATTGCTCCAGGGGTTTCATTATCAATCCTCACCCCGTCTTGACACTAAAATACTAACACAATGACACTCTTCTCAGACAGATCCTCCCTGCATCCCTTCCTTCACATCTCCTGCTCCTTCTCTCTGAGAATAATTTTTTTTTGTCAAGTTTGTCAAATAAAAGCCAAACTGGGTTTTTTTTCAACATAAAAGCGTGCAATTTTTCAAAATTTGTGCAAATCTATTTTTAGGTCCGTGCAATAAAGGAAATGTTGTCTAAAAAGATTTTCTACTCCATGTAATTACAATGCTGTTGTAGCATTTGAAATGCTTCAACCTTTACAGTCGGTTGCTCTATTTTAATTTGAAAAGCAACTCCCGGAAGTGTTGGTGCGTTGACGCTATTTAAACGCCAGCCTCTCTCTCCCTCTTTGCTTACATTAACACTGACTGTCTCTCGACCTGCCGACTATCTGTCGCGCGGCCGGCCAGCTGAGAACATCCACGCGCTCGGGAGGTGAGCGAGGATATTTTGGAAGAGGACAGGACGCAGAGACATCTCCTTCACGGCTCGACAAACATGCACACACTCGGGGTCCCATTTCTGCTGCTTTGGCTTATCTGGGGCCACTCCTGCGCGCTCGGTGGAAAAGGTAGGAACAAAAAGGAAAAAAAATTAGAAAGCGTGAAAAAAAAAAACTTGGTTTCGAAAATCTTTGCCCCCTTTTTTGCGTTTGAGTTGCACAAGTTTGCAATGCGAGCGACAGCCGTACGTCCAAGAACTTCGCAGTCAGGTTTAGCTGTCTTGAAGTTCGGCTGCATTTAAATGATTTTTCTCTTATGAATTATTGGCCAGTGGTTAGCTGAGGTTTCCTGTCTTGGCTGTCAGTTACTGTGGCAGGTGTTCAGTTAATTGGAAGTTACCAGCGTCGAGTAATTTAAAAGAGAAATGTGTTTATATGAAACCACAACGTTAACATCAGGGGGTC